ATCCTCCTCTCTGTTTGTTTAAAAGGTTAAGATTTAGAGCGTGGGAACTAATCCATATTCAGCATCAAAGTACATTTACTCATGACCCAGCTTTACACGGTCTGCTCTCCGTTTGTGTGTTCCTCAGGAGTAACTGTGTAAACGTGATGGTGACCACAACGCAGCTCATACCAGCGCTGGCTAAAGTTCTCTTATATAGTCTGGGATCTGTTTTCCCCGTGGAGAACATTTACAGTGCAACGAAAATAGGTAAGACACAAACACTGGTGCACACACACGTTCATTCACTTCTAGGTAATAATCCAATAAGGATGAAAATAAATTGAATGTAGAATTGGAGTAACTAAATAGTAGCTGACTATATATTTGATGTATTGTATTTAAGGTCACATGCATTCTGTTCTGTCCATTATTTTTGATGTTTCTTCATCTACTCCATGTAGTCCAGATATCCTGTTCCTTGTTATGATATAATTGCTTTAGTTTGGCTCAGGTTCATTGAGCGGCTGGTTAGGATTGTTTGAGTTATAGTTTGTTTTATATTATATGGTGTGTGTGTGTGTGTCCTAGCATTACTATACTTGTGGGGACCTTAATCTGTTTACACAGTCACGTGTGGGGACTCGCCTCCCTTATGGGGACAAATTGGAGGTCCCCATGAGGGGAATCATTCATTTTAGGGTGAAGGTTAGGATTAGGGTAAGGGTTAGGTTAAGGGTAAGGGTTAGGGTTAGGCATGTGTTGGTTATGGTTAAGGTTAGGATAAGTCTCCAGGAAATGCATGTAAGTCAATGTAATGTCCCCTGAAGTGATTACAAATTCCAATACATAAAATCCATATTTAAGTACACCAATAACTACACAGCTAGGCTACTAACATTGTTTTCTCTTGCACATTGAAACAAATTAATTAGAAAGTCTTCAGTGTTTCGAATGGGTTATCTCAGTGACACTGTATTATTTACACATATTTCTATGTACTTTGAATTTAATGATTTAATACAAATTATAATGAACCGCAATTTAAACATAAGTGACATAGCGCTTGTGATTCAAAACTGAAAATACCTGTGAGTAATGCTAACTCTTTGGACCAGCATGAGACCACATACATCCTCCGATTAAAATGATTTAGAAGGTTTATTTCAAGATTATCAACAATGCATTATTTGAATCACTTTCACTGATAGAATGAAGAAGGGTTAGGCCTACATCCGTCTTTTCCTTATTCCATAGTTTACAATAAACGACAACAATGGATGTTATTGATGAATGAATGGTATGATGAATTAAATGTTACTGATGCAAGGATTTAATGGACGCAATACACTCCTTGTCTTCCGTAATGGATTGTCCACTCTACGCTGTGAAAAGGAGATAATTGTGCCTATCAACACCCCCGATGTATAATTACTTAATAATGACATCATCCCCTGGCTAAATGCTTAGTTCGACTGCAGCCCTTTTACTCCAGCTCACACTGACCTAAACAACAAATCCATCCTCACATCACATGAAGTCCTGCTCTTGAACATCTCCAACACTTGTGGGATCTTCCAGGCCAGATGCCCACTTTCTGAATGGAGTCCGTTAGCAGGAGAAAACGCAACTGGTTACGCCAATGTACCGCAACTGTGGCCAACACTAAATCCTATTCAACCAGACATCAAGAAAACAAAACAACTCGGATTAGAAATGGAGTTAGAGAGCCAAAACATCCAGGAAACAAAACTCAAAGCCAAGTGTGTGTGTGCTTGTGAGCTAATGTTACACCCAGTTCAACCCCCACGGCGCCTTGATTCAAACGGACGTAGCAATGTGGAAACCATGACAACTGCCTGATGTTTAGGACACAAGTGTTTCAGGTCAAACGCCGGATCACGTAGACTCATGGATACTTTGCATATGGAATTACTCTAAATGCAATTAGCGCTGTATATGTATAGGAGGAAGGCTAAAGGTTAGCATGGGGTGTGACCTACATCAGTCGGAAAAATGTTGTGGCAACCAGATATTATATTTATCTGAATGTGTGTGTGTGTGTGTGTGTGTGTGTGTGTGTGTGTGTGTGTGTGTGTGTGTGTGTGTGTGTGTGTGTGTGTGTCAACCTTGATGCATACAGCTCAGATTTTTTATGTCTTTAATTCCCATTCCGACCACTAAGGAAAAACCTGTGAAAGCCATTTGTTTGTCTCCAGGCAAAGAGAGCTGTTTTGAACGTATAGTCTCCCGCTTTGGCACTAACATTACATATGTTGTGATTGGCGATGGGAAGGATGAAGAGCATGCGGCCAGCCAGGTAAACAAACGACTTCAAAACGTTGACCCCTCTGACCTTGTGACCCTCCTTCCTCCCCCCTTTGTTTATTTGTTTTTTTGCAGGAAAAGAGAGTTGCTTTGAACGCATAATGCAAAGGTTTGGCAGGAAAGTAGTGTATGTTGTAATTGGGGACGGTGTGGAAGAGGAGCAGGCGGCCAAAAAGGTAATGGACCCGCAACCTCACCGTGACCCCGCCTACTCCACACAGTGTGAGCTCTGATTGGAAGAAGCCTGCCTTTCTTTGCTGTAGAGGATTTGTGTTACTTTTTTTCTGTTCTACTTGCTCTTGCTTTTTCCTATTTTATGAAGTGGCAGGTGACTTTTGATTGTCAGGGTGACAATTTGAGACTAAGGCTTGGCAAGTGTACATTTTGGACCTACTTTTGGAAGTCAAATATACCAAATTCGTGAGCCACCTGCAGCTATAATTCAACTTAATGTGTGTCACATTTGACATGAATGGCTCCGAAATGTACACAATGATTTGAACAATGTGATTTGTTAAGCGCAATAATGCTGTTTTTTTATCCAGTGGTGTGCGAAGTCTTTTTTCATTGGTACTCGAGTAGAAAAGCTATATCCCAACAAAGAAATATGACACATATTGACAATCTAGGACATATTTCCTAAAGTGAAAATATAAATCCCATCTTTCCTCCAGCTTTGGGTTTCATTGTTGGTGCTGGGATTGTTAAAGGAGAAGTTTGACATTATTGGAAAAGATCACAATCACTTTCCTGCTGAGAGTTAGATGAGAAGAATAATATCAATCTCTGCCCCTTAAACATAATGCTACCAACAGTTAGCTTAGCATATAGTGCAGTTAACTGTGTATCAATGTTGTTGTAATGCTAAGCTAAGGGCACAGCTGTAGCCTTATTGATATAAGAGTTATTATTATCTTTCTATCTCAATTAACTCTCAGCACAAGAGCAGATTAGTAAATGTCTCCAAATGCTGAACTCTTCCTTTAAGCCTTATGATTGCATGGATTTCGTTTGCAGTGCTTTTGCAAAGCAAGCAGCTACAAGCTACTGTAGTGTAGCTTGCATGAGTTTAGGTGGCGGTGTGCAGCTCTGCTAACAGTACTGTTGGTTCTAATTATGTGTGTTCACTCCACAGCACAACATGCCTTTCTGGAGGATATCCAGCCACTCTGACCTGCTGGCACTACACCAAGCACTGGAGTTTGAGTACCTGTAACTATTATAGCAATATGGACTCATGCAATGTTACCGTGGACATGGTCAGCCCCCTTCTTTTGTATAACTATTTAAGAACAAACAATACACTGCAACCGTTTTTGTGATTTTTTTTTTGTCTTGTTGAACGTCTGGATTTACAAACTCTGAACGGTCTTAAGAAGAGGTGAAAGGAGGTAAAGAACTGAACAGTGGGCTTAAGAGGTGTCTCGAATACCCAGCTCAGCCCCTGTGGCCCCTATGCTGCGAACAGACCGCTGTGAAACCCCCCCCCCTCTACTGTCCCTGCAGCTGACTGGAAGCCTGTAAAGGCTCAATGCCTCCCTTGGCCTGGGAGGATGTTTGGTTTGATGGAGGGCAGCCAGACTAGTCTCAGGCCTGCTGAGGGTCACCTGGGAGGATCTTCAAACCACGAGGGCTTCTCTGTACAGGCATTCTGTGTGCGGGGTTAACAGCTGCTTTTTTTTCTAAGTGTTTTCTTCCTGGTGGTATAATAATCACAACACAATGGAGCCTGCATCAGAAACTTGTGTAAATTATTTACAATAAACTTAAGGGCAGTGGTGGATGTTTTTGTGAAGGAAATGAAATGCATTTTTGGGGTCTTTGTTTTTTTTCTCCACTCTGGATTTTTGTAATTGTTTGGGCAGGGGAATTGAGGATGTGCGTCATGATGTGTTGTGCCTTAATGTGTTTGAATGTCTTTTCTTTATTCAGAAATGTCTATGTATGTAGATATAAAGGAGAAAACTTATACAAATGACCTATGCATCTCGTCTTTCCTTTTAAACTGATCCGACATGCATGTACAGGTAGTGCTGCTCATTATTGAAAATTACATTTGCAGTATGCTGTTCATATTTGCGGTTTGATTAACTCACCAACCTTTGGAGCAATCAACATCATTCCGTGTTAACCCCGGGGACCCAGCAGTTATTTGAATAAGTTTTAGACACAACTTTCTTATAAACTGTCCACCCAAATAATCTTAGAAAATAGAGCACCATTATGTCAGGGTTTGTGCATTAAACACTGCACTTTAAGGGACCTATCATGTCTTTTATACATAAATATGTGTCCCCGGTGTGTCAGGGAATTCACAAAACCATCTTTTCCTCCGTACCCAAATCTCTAAAAACAGGGGTACAGCGGCGCTGATCCAGAATGTAGCTATATCTGTCGGTATAATTCTGAGCAGGCATTAGCTTGCCCTCTTTTTTCAAGCTAAGGACCCCGAACCTGCAGTTCTCTAACAGGCCTGAAATAGAGGGATATGAGGGATGTCTAAAATGCATAATCAGTTTGGTATTTTGAGCAAAACATATCAGATGTGTTATTATATATCCAATACCCATAATATAGGCCTATGCCTAAAAATAGCATAATAGGAGAACTTTGGACAGACCAATTTAATATCACTGCCAGCGTTTAGTTTGGGTGAGACTTGTCTGGAAAAAGGAACACTTCAGACAACTGCATAATTTTCACTTTTTATTGACATTTTATTTTTTGCCTTTGAAGTATTCCTCAATCACATCCTTGGCTTGAGACTCCTTGCCGTAGTCCTGTAAACAGAAAAGTACAGTTTGAGATGAGCAGATTAAGATAAAGACTAAGCTATAAATAACCGTGGAAGCGATATCATCAGTCATGTGTCAAGATGTGTTGAGGGCCTTGTTGGGTCAAGGGATATCTACATTCAGTCTTACCCACCTAAACACAGTGTGAATAATAGTGGTAAAACTGAGCATTAGTTTATATAGTACTCAAAAGTCTAGCCCCAAAAACACACCTGTTAGGCTCTGCTAAAAATTACAGTAAGCTGAGCAACACGTGACAGGACAGAATCACTGTAAAGGCATTCAAGACCATTTAATTTCCATAAGTGTATGTACTTTTAGGAAAAAACATTATAGCTTACTCAGTCATTACATTTACCTGCATCTATAGACATTTTGAAGGAATGTTCAACATATGCTCCTCCCATTATGGGAATCATTGCCGCCCATTCAAATAAACACTAGAAATTAATATACAGGTTGATTGGTATAAACAGCAAACTACGAGGTAAGTCAGTCATGACCCATCAATCATGGTGCTGGTTTCCATTCGTTACTATTTGTTGCCATTCTTAGGGACCCCAGACACCACAGTTAGACGACGGGGCTCGTACCCTGGCATTCATTTGGCCAGATGTTTTTAAACAACAGCTGCATGGCACAAAGCACAGCAGCTGCACTTGTCTGGCAGATATATTGTGTATATTTAGCAGGAATATGTAGAGTCTATTCTGTTTGTTTTTCTTGAATGTAGGCAAAAAATGAAGTGAACCGCATCATTTACCTTGACCACCACACAGCTGCAGCCCACAATCTTACGGGGTTTGCCCTCACGGTCGATCTTGCACAGACCGACCCACTCGCCGAGCTTCTTGTTGTCATCAACCTGAAATAAGGTTCAACAGCGTATTTTAACTTGAGTCATTCCTGATAAACAATGAGGTGTAATTATAATTTATTTTTTCAACATAACGGCAGCAATGTGTACTCTTGCTGCACCGCCAAAAGGACCATTTCACATCTCCTTTGCATTTGTTCATGTGAATTTCCCAAACCAGATACTTGATCAGTCGGTTATGAGCAGCCTTGTTACCTTTATCAGGTTGATCTGATGCTCCGCACAGAGGGCCTCCACCAGCTTGACGTATGTGGGCTCATCACAGTTGCCTGCAAGGGCACAGAGATGGGCTTGACGCCTGAAAAAAACAAACATGATTTAGTTTGCAGCAAAGGCAACATTAACACATGTGTGGCACATCAAGACAAAAATTGGGTAACATTGGCAGGCATCCACACAAAAGGTTCAGTAGAGGGAGCCAGGGTGTCATCAAGGATGCATTCAAGGACGAAACCACATTTTTAAAAAAGGTAACTAAATTAAAATTAAACATACTTGTCCAGGGCCTTGGCAGCCTCACGGATACCACGGGCGAGGCCATCGTGGATGAGTGCGGTCTTGAGCACTTCAGGGAGAGCAGTGTTGACATCCATCACACCCGTCGAAATACCTCCAGCAGCACCTCCAGCAGGGACTGCAGCAGGGACGCTACTAAAAACAGAATTGTTTTGAGTTTTTTTCGAGCAAAACAGGATTTATAGATTAGCAGATTTCAGTTGAGCTTCTGGCGTTGTCAGAACAGGGTTCTCACTCATTGTAGAGAGAAGGGGTATCCGACAAAAGAAAGAAAGTCATCATTCAAGCGCCAGAGAACTCTCTTAAAAAGTGGGAATAGCACACTGAGCATTTCATTGCATGCCTGAGGACAGCTGACCATTTAAGTGGGATGGATAATATAATCCCTGTCTGGTGCAAGTTCAGCATGGAATAAAACAAGAGCCTGAAAATAAAAACTAACAGGCTAAATGTAAGCATTCAGTGCATTTCTACAAACCTTGACTTTTTAAAATAGCCATTGCGTCACAATGAAGTCCAAATGCGTTGATATCGTATTACATTTGGCTTTAGCCACTTTTGCTTGTGATATTAAAGTGCACCGATTCGAGCCTTTGCAGACAGGGTACTTCAGGTTAAAGGGGAACTGGGGTTATGTTTTAATAATTATGCAGCTACTGACTTGCCAAGTAACATGGCAAATTCAATGGTAAAATATGTTAGCATAGCAAGAGCTGATCAAAACATAACCACGTTCAACTTTTGTTTTTTAGCCATCTCTACACTTGACAACTGCTGCACACGCAGAAAAATGTTGGTCTTATCACCTCACAGTATAAGTGTACATGTTGCTAAGCTAGGCAGCTAGCGGTAGCTTCGGCAAAACAATAGACTACAACTAACATTTATAACCGCACAAGTGTGGGCGACATGTTCTCAAAAATAATTTTAAGTTTCAGCCCCTCCATCACCACTTTTCACAGAGAGTAAGAACAGTTTTTGTTAGAAATCCCTCGCTTTGTTGGTTAGCGACAGATAGAAGAATATAATTATGCTCACCCTTCCTCGGCCATTGTTGATTATCGATGGATGTTGGATATAAAGATCTGAAATACAGAACAAAAATGAAAGAATAGTTGTTATTAAACATAAACGGTTCATGGTGATGACTTTATATATCAAGATGTTTGATAAATCCTTTAGATTGTGCCGGTAGTGGGAGAAACGTACCCTGTCCTCCTCTCGGTCAGCGTGTAAAGAGGACGTCATAACTCCGCGACATTCCTTTAAAAGCAGAAGGCCCCGTTCATGCTTTAGAGGGTCGTCCGGAATGCTGCCTGTTTTAGTTTCAATGTTCAATATTACACAAATAAATAAATAATGATTAAATAATTGTAGGTCGACAAACTCAGGCCCTTTTACTTCTATACAAATGGAAATACCACAGTGTAAAAGAAAAAGTGGAGTAAAAGTCCTTTATTTGTTGTTGTTACTTAACTTAAAGTGCAAAAGTATTAACATCAAAATAGCCGCCCATATATATATATATTTGAGAGACAACATATATATATATACGATATTTATATATATATATATATATAGTTTGGTCCTTAGCCTATTTATTTTTATTTTCGTGGCACCCAGAGACGCACATATACTGAAAGCCTCCCAGCAAACACCAGTGGCCTGGGGGAACAGTCTACCGGGGGGGAACAGTTTTATAGATGTTATTCTCTGTTCATGCATGGCTCTGCAATCTAACTGTGTTCCCACTTTTTCAACAATTACATTTAGTTATTCAATTATATTTGGGACAAATACTCTCAGAATTCTATACTAAAGTGGGTTTTTTCTCTAAGTTTTGGGACACTTCCAGTCATGTGATCTGTTGCTTTGCTAATACTACGTACGATTGTATGTTTATACATATGGAATAATGCAGCGACTTTAATCTCAATTCCCTGGTAAATGTGCAAATCGATACGACTTGGTACCAGACTTTTACATAGAAAAAGTGTCAATAAGGGCAACAAGCAGAGTTCAAATTATTATTATTTTTTATTTCATTCATGGAACTCCAAACATTTCAGAAGACAAATATGTTTAGCTGAACATTATCAGACGTTGCCAAATCAAATGACAGTTTACAGAAATATTAATAGTATTTTTCAAAGATCTCCATTCCTTTTAGATCTTGAGAAACGCCTCCAACTGTTCGTTCTCAATTGCCTCCAAAAATGCTTCGTAGTTCTAAAAGAAAGAAAAGATGTTGGGGGTTAAGGATTTTAGGGTGGAGATGCAAGAAAGAGAGAAAATAAACACAGAAGCAATTAATATCAAAATATACTTTATATATTTTCCAAAGAAATCTTAATAAAATGAATACATATTTGAGAGAGATTATGCTGTAATTTGTACTTTTAATCTTTTTTGGGAACCTTCAACGATCCAAGGTGCGGCCCTCAAAACAAGAACAACTTCCTCTCAGACAAAATCTAAATGCAATGAAGTGTGTGTGTGTGTGTGTGTGTGTGTGTGTGTGTGTGTGTGTGTGTGTGTGTGTGTGTGTGTGTGGATCTTAGGTGATTGGGTGGTACTGTAAATATTTATTTAATTTCTAAGTCTATATGCCCTGTGGACTACCACATTGTTTTTCCTCTTTTCAAGTGCCACTAGCATGTAAATGATTAACATTCAATTGTAATTCCGTTGGTTCCAAGAAGGTGTTGCATTGTCACCAGACATTATCATTACTTTTGGTAACTGTGTGAGACTTACCCCACAATGTTCGTTCCCATTGCATATCTGAGGAGGTAGAGCCGTAGGGTCATTTGCCATTTCCCTCATCTCATCCTTGGTATTAGAATCCTGACTAATGTCTATAGCTTCAAATTCTACTTTCTTGGCGGAAAGCACATCCAAGATTTTTTGCTGTTTTTTCTTGATCTGGAAAGGATAGTATTTTATCAGTTACATAAATATAAAATTAATGTGAAACCCTTACACTTAAAAGTTATCACAAAGTTTTGATTTGCAATATACATTTCTTCAATGGCCATGATGAGCAGTTACAGTTATTCAGAAATAAAATGTATGCATATCAGCGTGACTTCTGACAATCTTTTATTAAATGTAATCTTCTATAAAAATTACTACAAGTAAAACAATCAAACAAGTAAGACAGCACTGTACCTCTATGGAGCCGCTGACGCTGGTATAAAATACTTTGACAGGCATATCTGCTATTGTTCTAAAATGATCTAGAAAGAGAGGAGTGCAGGCACAGAATGATCCAGTTTCCAAATGCAGGTATGTGGAGCTGCTTCACTGCACTAGACAAGCTGAGCAGGTTTGGACATGAGTTACCTGCCTGCATGGACACACCCACTAGTGTGACTGTCATTCTTTGATATATTGCTTCTTTGCTTTTCCAAACCTGTTACTTAACTGAACCATGGTACCTATAAAGTGAAAAATAGTTTGGAGTGTATCAAATACACAGGAAATCGAGAAACTATATAAAGGTAATTTTTTTAACCTGAATTGACTGATTTGTTTGGCCACTTGGGGGCAGTGTAACAAGCTGTAACATAACATTGACCTCACACAATATTTTTCTTGCAAAAAGTCAAATAAGCGTTTTTTTTTGTGTTGAGGTTAAACAAGGTGAGCAGATTTGTACAAAACACATCTGCCTGTATGGAGACACCCACTTATGTGATTCATGTTGTTGACATTCCAGCCTGCTTACGTCTATCATGAAACCACAAAAACACACACAAACTACCAGCAGTGGTGGAAAATAACTAAGTATATGGTCCCACTACTGAACCTAAGAGCTAGTAGAGGTAGTTGTACTTGAATATTTCCAGTATATTCTTTCTTTCTACTTTCTTTCTTCTTCTCCACCAAGTTTCAGGGGGGATTGTACTTTTAGTCTATATTCTTTTTTGCATTGAAGGCCTTTTGAGTGGAACAGCATAGGTGTCAATGATAATTAATAATGATGCTGAATACATTCAGCTCCTCTCTTATTGTCCAGGTTATGCTGAGGAATTTGTTTTAACAATTACTGATGATGATTGATAAAACACATTCATGTATTTCCCACACCACGCCGCTCCTCCGCTCCCTTCACTGGCTTCCAGTAATTGCTAAAATCCACTTCAAAACATTGGTACTTGCATACCATGCTGCGAATGGATCTGGCCCTTCCTACATCCAGGACATGGTTAAACCGTACACCCCAGCACGTGCACTCCGCTCTGCATCAGCCAAACGACTCGCTGCACCCGCACTGCGAGGGGGACCCAAGTTTCCATCAGCAAAAACACGTGGGTTTGCTATCCTGTCTCCAAAATGGTGGAATGAGCTCCCCATTGACATCAGGACAGCAGAAAGCTTGCACATCTTCCGGCGCAGACTGAAAACTCATCTCTTTCGACTCCACTTCGAGCGATAGAATTACTAACAAAGAATTGCTAACAAAGCACTTATATACCAATAAAGGACTGGCGTATCTAAAGCCAGTTGAGTAGTACTTGAAATGTTTGGCTCTATGAAACCTAATGTACTTATATGATTCATGTCTTCTTCAAGTTTGTATCTTCCTGGTCGAATGCACTTATTGTAAGTCGCTTTGGATAAAAGCGTCAGCTAAATGCAATGTAATGTATTTGATAGTTCACATATCTTGGCAGTTTTTGTTTGGTAACAATTGGGCACATTTTCCCCCAGCAGGGTCAAATCATCAAAAACTCTGCCAAACGTGACAGCAAGCGCGGTAAGAAATATATATGTATTGATCTGCATTCACATACACCAAATAAAGCAAATTACCATAGAATGCAAAGACAATGTAATCAGCCTACTCCTGCAGGTCAGTCGATCTTAGCTTTCTGATCAATAGAATCTCTCTGTCAAATGTAAGCCATAACAGGAATAAAGCAAAGAATGCAGCATATATTTGAGGAAGTGTGTAGATTAAACAAATAAAATGTTGTGTAAAAACACACTTAAACCTGGTCTTCCTGAAAGAGCAACAGATCATCAGCTAGTCACCGATAACACTGTGACATCATTGTTGGCTGTCGTTAAAGATACAGCAGACTTATAAACTTTAACTACCCTAAACTTTTTCACGTTTTTGTGAAATTGCACGACATTCTTCATTACTTGATGCATTTAGTTATCAAGGGAAACTAGTGGTTCTAGCTCATAGCACACTCTCCCAGCCAG